CGGACTTGATGATCTGCTCAGGTCCCTTCCGACCCTACTAACTATGAAACTATTAAATAAATAAAAAATACAGATAAAAAAATACATAATAAACTACAAATATTATACATTGAAAAGTGCCTTCCCAAGGGAGGGTTAACCAAAGTTAATGGCTAAGGTGGCATACAAAAACGAAGTCTTTGATTCAATTTACATAATGTTGTTGGAAGGGCATCAGGGAAGTGGGAGGGAAGGAAGTGAGAGAAAGTGAAATAAAGATATTTTTCCTGGTAGAAACAAGGCAGTTTGTAGCATAACCACATGAAGGTATTTAGTTTTTTAGAAAGTAGAGATATACTGATGTTCTCCCATTATTATTCTCTTTTCTGAATTGAAATAGAATGACAAATACCTGATCATGAGTGAAATCTCCCACTAGCTTTATCTGGATGTTGGAGTTGCAAGAAATACAGCAGAGGATCCTGGCACTTTCAAAAGCCAGTTCAGGATTGCTGTTGCCATGATAAAGATACCTTTAAAATTTAAGAATATTATGACTGAACTGTTGGACACTCTAGAGCTACTACACAATAAAATCCAGATAAAAAACAGAACATGTGCACATCAAAATAATTTAAAATAAAATCTGAATAAGACAACATTTATGGGAAAGTTTTTAAACTGAAAACTACATTTTTCTTATATATGAACCCACAGCTAAAGCCGCTCACAACCAATAACATGAATTAAGAAGGAGAAGGACAAATCACTCCCAGAACTTCTGTTGCTTCCTCTAACCCCACGTTTCCCAAACTTCTGATACCTGGGACACACTTTACAGTATTCCGGATTAAAACTGGCAGCACACTTGAGTATTACATCTGAAAAGGTATATACTGTATTTACCCAAATCCACGACGGCTTCAGATTTAGGTTACCCCATAATAATTAGATTCGACAAATGGAAAATTGTAAACTGTTATAATTTTCCATATACAGAATCTAATTATTGGAAGGTCATCTTAAATCTGTCTTCTCCCATCACTGTGGCATGGAAAGAAGTTGTAGGGGGGGCAAGCAACCAGAAAAGCAGTGGCAGAGGCAGGGGCAGGCAGCCTGCCTTTTGTCCCCTTGGCCTGCCCCACCTCCATCTCCCCTCCTGGCATCTGCCCCTCTGCCACCAGCCCCACTGTTGCTTCTTACCCTATGGCAGCTCTGGCTCCCACCCAAACCAGGTAGGGACAGCAGCAGTGGTGGCAGCTCCAGCCCCCAGGGCAGACTGTGGCCAGAGCAACAGCAGCTCCCTTGCCACTGCAAACAGACAACACATTTATCCCAGAACAAAGCGCAAGTGTACAGACACCCATGTCCATTGTCCTGGGATAATTTATAAAAGAAAATCCCAGATAAAAGGTAATTTCAGATTATCCTGAGATTATATCAGTAAACCAATGGCAGAGAAGTAGTATTGCATTCAGCCACTCACTAAAACCTAATTAGAAGGGCTATATATGTACATGCCAATCTTGGGATATTTTTGTTCTGGGATAAACACAGGCACAATTTATCCAGAGACAAAAGCAACATCTGTTCCTAGCCAAACAAACCATTACTGGCCTAACCTATGATAATTCATGAAAAGTCCAGGGTAGAGAAATGAAAGTTACATGCAAGTGAGTAGTTAATTTAAGAGTTTTGAATTTCATGGAATATATATACAACTTGGATATGCTCAGATGAAAAATTTCAAGACAAATAGCATACATAGGCCCCAATCTTGCACTCAGATGTAGGCAGATGGACATTTCGCTCTGTTCAAAGCCCACTGACTTCAGTGAAGCTCCCTGGATATGCAAAACAGCCTGCCACATGGATATAGTTAAAGAATAAGCAATCCAGTAGCCTCTGTTCACATTCCAATCTTTCCAAAGCTTCCTCCCACCCAAGTGCTTTGGGCTTACCTGGCAATATTCACCACGTGGTCTGCCTTCTTAGTTCGTGGGTTGATTCCTTGCAGCAGCTGTTCAAGAGGTGTGACAATCAGGGAAAGGTGACTCTCCCGTAAAAGGTCCATGAAGAGAGTCTCCTTTTGCAGGGTCAGGTTGAGAAGAGCAAGGCAGTACTGTACTGCTTTCTCTAAGTGCTTCTTCCCTACAAATCACAGGCAAAAAAACAAAAATGATCAGCATTTACAAATCCTACTGCAATCCCTGGAACATCTATAAATGGGCCACCTGCGAACAGCTCATTTATTAAACTTTGTACCAGAACTATATCTTGAGAGCTGATAACTGAAATCAATTAACTCCCCACAGAAAATAACTTGTGTATGTGAAAAACAAACATATCTTCTGTTAAAGCTACGGAAAAATATCGAAGTCAAATCCCTGCTAGTAAACATTTCACTGGCATCTTAAAAATAAACTATAGGCACATACCTGGAAAGGGGGCGTAGGTATTAAGCTGTTTAACCCCTTCTTCCAGCAGACTAAGGGACAGTTCCAGCATTGGTGACTCATTCAGTAGATGATACATCAAATTAAATCCCGGTGGTTTATATGCTATTATTTCTTCTCCTAAAAGAGAAAAAAAAAGGGAAAAATTACCTATTAGTAGTTCTTTGTCTGAGATTTCTCCTTACCACATCACATGCATACAAACCAACCAACCACATGTCACAACAGCAGCTAAATGGATGCTATACATAATAATAAAGATGTATTAATATCACCTCAATGAAATAGAACAGAAGTTCTCAATCTTTTTAGACAGAATGCACCCTTGTTAGACCCAAGGCACCTCTCAGAAATGCCAGCTCTTAATCTTTCACTTGTTTCTGGACAATGGAAAAAACAATTCTTCTGTTGCAAAGAACTCAGGAAGAGTGAAATAGGGAAATGTTTTTAACAATATGAATTCCTATTTGAAATCTCTGGGTTTATTTCATGAATCATTCATAGGTATTTGCAAACCAAAAATGCTAACGTTGTGTGGCACCCCATATCACTCTTAAAAGGATCTCAGGACACCCTGATTGAGAATCACTGCGCTACAACATATTGATACTCTCACTGGTGTGAAATTCAAAGGTCATAATAAAACATAATTAGGAAGTAAACAAAAGAACTCCTGAAAATAAAGGAGAAGTCCAAGTTAATGCTCCTGGTTTATCTATTCTTATAGACAAGACAATGAAAAATAACGTAGAACATAAAAACTGAAGCTGAAAGAATACTTTTTCTTAGTCTGGAAGGCCTCTGACTTGCACAAGTCAAACTGCCTAACTCTCCATTTCAGTATTGTTTTTAATGGTTTTAACACTGCTGCGAATTAACAAGCACAGCCACATGAAAGCCATTGCAAAGAAATTTCACATGTAAAGAATCTGCAGTGCAACAAACTAAACACCTTTAACCAGCCATGTGGATGCAACGCAAACGTAGAGGCCAAACCCAAGAACAAGATATTAAAAAGCATTAATATCTCTCATTAAGTTCATTAAACTTTACAGAACAATCTAAGATGGACATCAGAATGCCTCTGCTGTGGCATTGGTCAGGCCGCAGTTGGAGTACTGCATCCAGTTTTGGGGGCCACACTTCAAGTGGGATGTGGGCAACCTCGGGAGGGTTCAGAGGAGGGCCACTCATATGGCTAGGAGTCTTCAGGCAAAACCCTATGAGGAGAGATTGTGGGCTGGATCTCTCCAGCCTCTGCAAGAGAAGGCTGAGAGGTGATCTTGTGGCTGCCTAAAAATTAATTGTGGGGGGCAGCAAGGAATAGAAGATGCTGTGTCTACCAGGGCATCCCTTGGAGTAACTAGGAACAACAGTCACAAACTGATCGACAGCAGCTTTAGGTTAGACATCAGGAAGAACTTCTTTATGGTAATGGTTGCCAGAATATGGAATGGGTTTCCAGGGAAGGTGGTACTGTCCCCTACCTTGGGGGTCTTTAAGAGAAGGCTAGACATGCATCTGGCTGGGGTCATCTGACCTCAGTGCTCTTTCCTGCCCAGGGCAGGGGGTTGGACTCGATGATCTGCTAAGGTCCCTTCCGATCCTAGCACCTATGAATCTATGTATCAGCAGTCCCTGCCACAAGTGAAGAAATAAACCTACAGAATTACTGATAGGTATAAAATATGGTATCAAGTTATTATCAGTAGTTGGCTAGTGCATCTATATAACACAGGTATAACCAAATTAATGTGGAAACAGACATCCACTGACATTTGTAAGATAATGTTATAGTTCTTCCAGTAAGAATAAGAAAATTGGCTCTTAATGAACAGGATGAATCAAAAGAAGTTGGAAAAAAATAGAAGAAGGTGGCCCAGCATGACTATCACTACACACTTTTGGTTTGAAAAAAATCAAGGGACACAACAGGATCACAAGATAAATTACAATCTGTGCTTACTGACCTTCCCCAACATTCTGAATAAAATGAAATGAAAAGAAAAGAATACACGCAGTTGATTAAATGCAACCAGCACTGAACATAACTACAAAACTCATGGCCAACTTTTGGCAAACATGATAATGGGAACCTACCACATTAATAAGTTAGTGTAACCTATCTGAATAAGATATATGGTAGTGCCCATTAAGTGCAATCTTCCTCACTGCTGACTTTTTTTCTAAGTCCTTGTGAGTTATGAAATTGCATATAGTTCACTCAAAAATCACTCTCTCACCTGCTCGCTCACCCTGGTGTATATGATTATGTGGCCCTGCCCTCTATAAGGTGAAGCTGGATCATGTTGCCTTGCACCTCATCTGCATATAAATTTTTGGAGCATCCCAGGACTTGTGACAATAACATCCAGTTCCAGTCACGAGAGGGGGGCACTAATTAGCACATGGATCCTTTGCGGGGCGGTATCTGAACTACATGCACATACTGAGCAGTGTTAAGCTGTGGGGTCACCATGGCTTGAAATGCTGATGACTCTGCTGGGACCCAGCCCAATGAACTGTGTAGTAAATCATAAGCCTCTGGCTTTTGACTAATGCCATGTGTAGTTTGTACTACATATAAGTAGATGACAAAGTGCCACTCAAAAGTATGGAGTACCTGTGCTAAAACTTGCAGCAATATCAAAAAAAGATAACACACATCAATTCTGGATAAACTAAGTGCATGGGTACTATATGCAAATTGCTACAGCCATGTTTAATTTCAAGGTCATTGTTTTCAAATTTGCTCCTCACTTTTATGTGCTCAAAGAGAGCAGGATCTGATAGTAAAGGAGTGGGGGCGGGGAAGGGCTGCCAGGGGAAAAAGTTTGGGGAAAGCAGAAAGCAAAGGGCTATCTGACCTCCCCCAGATTTAGTTTCCCTGCTGCAGCAGTGGAAGGAGTACAAATTCAAGACAAACCTCCAATAATTAGATTCTATACCTGGAAAATTATTAAAATTTATACATTTTCCATAAATAGAATCCAATTATTGGGGGGTCATCTTATAATCAGGGTTGTCTTCTATTTGAGAAAATATGGTAGTTCTTTTCTCAGTGTTGGGGATTCACCACACATCTAAAAATAAGTGGGTAGATTAGAGAAAGAGAACATCTCTCACAAAAGAGGAGGACTGTACCATAGCAATACAGAGGAAACACCACCTGCTCATCAGAATCGGAGACGTGCAAAAGCCAAGACCTAAAAAGCTGAGTTTGATCCTTGGCACATATTTTTAAGTCAAGCCTTCTTTTCTTACAACCAAGAAACTTACAGTAAATCTAGAAGCCAATTCTTTTCCCTACTGCCTTTCCACAGTTTCATTTTTAATTCATTCTTTTCTTCTGCCCTCTGTAGAAAAAGGGCTGGGGGAGACAAAAATACTTAAAAATAAGTAAATCTGGCAAGAAGGAGGAGGAGAAGATCAAAGATAAGAAGATCAGATGAGCTGGCAAACTGTCTATCAAGGCAGAAAGGTATTTGCCTCCTTGCATTCTGTCACCAACTAGTGATTTATTGCTTTAAGAAGAGATGGTTTCCTGCTGTGCCTTGAAGGGACAGGAAAAAATATATTCAATAAAAATATGCTCAAAATTCTGGTAATTTACATTTACATAATGTTTACTTTCTGAAGAAACCTAAAGTGCTTCTCAAATTATATGGGTGCAAGAGCTGTTTCACCCATTGCAAGATGAAAGGAAGCAGCTATTCAACAGTTTAGAAAGTTAAGTAAAAGAAATACCAACGTATATAAATTAATTAAAGTGCAGGACAAATTTTGGTCAGCAAAAAGATAACTACCTATTTGGACTTTTGGCCAGGACACCGGGACTAGCTCTCCCCTAAATCTTATAAACACATTACAGGATTTAACAATTGCAGAAATGCAGGATGTCCATTTTATATCTGTTCTGAAATTCAACCCCCTCCAGCAGCACATTGTGTTTAACTCTCAGGCTGAGGTGTCAATTCACCACAGACTCAAGAAAAAGAGCAGCCTACTGAATCAGCAAACACCATGTCCTGTAGTATGCTGGTGCTACCTGGATGTTTCCTAAGCCCTGACTCAACCCTGGCCTGCTTTCTTGAAAAATTTGATAGGACCACAGCACACAGGGGTAAAGACAAAACGAGAGTCAATCTTGTTTGATAGTAAATGAATAAACATATTAACCTTGTAACTCCACATACTGGTCCACAAAGTCATCAAGTTGAGGTTCGTAGTCTCTCAGCAGTTTGTAAAAAACCTCCAGAACCACCTCAGCTACTTCCCACTGTAAATGATCAACAATGGATTGAACAAAAAACAAAAAAAAACAAAAAAAAAAACTCACAAGGAATGTGGTTGCATTTTAAATCATCATCCCACAGCACCAGAAATTTGCAAGGTCAGAGAATTTGAAACAACATTAAAATCCTTTTTGAAATAAAAAGAACATCTTTTGGAATCTGAACTATAATGCATTTTATACAAGTTCAAAAACACACCAAAAAAGACGAAAATATGTACGATCATGCGTATTATTTGTAAACTTGAGCATCTGTAATGCACAGATCGCTATACTTTGTACAAAAAGGCACTTTTAGCAAAAAGAAGCATTGAGGACAGAAGCTCAAATTCCATACTTCGAGAAGCTAAAAATGCCAGATGAACACTAAATAATCTTGTGAAATAATCATAAAGAAAAGCTAAATTTAACCAAGAGAGGCAGATTCTAATTATTTAGGTTTGTGACAAAGTCACAAGGGTTCAGAAATCATCAGCCAATTCATAAAACAAACTCATAATTCTGCAACTGTTTACCTGCATTTTTCCAAGTGTTTAAACTAGCATAAGACGACACTGCCATCAGCATTTGAATGCCTATCATACCAGAGGAGTATAAATACCTAATGTAGCTCCCATTCTTTGTCTGCTTTGCAGACGTGGGGGATACTAGTTGGTTATAGCTTTGGTTTAAAGAATCCAAAGATTAAAACTGCTGGATCAAACTTAGGTAACACAGATCCTCAGAGCTCAGGGGCTTGGTGAGTCAAGTCAACTTAACACTACAGAACCCAGATGCAAAGACAGCTGTCTCCAAAAATATTTATTCAAAACTATAAATTTACCTTTTCAGCTGCTCTCCGGTAAGCTCTGGTGCGAAATCGGAGAAACACAGAATCTCTAAGGAACTGAAGATAGGGATCAAAGCCTGGTGGGCGCAATCCTGCTCCCAAGTTAGAAGGAAATGAACTCTCCACCAGTGTGCTGATGAGCCGGCAAAATGCACGGGTTAAAGGATACTCCTCACACCGGGATTCGATTTCATTCAATTCAACCTTCCCCAAAAAAACAAAACAGAAAAAAAAAAAAAAACCACCAAAGATCCAACTTAGAAAAGAACACTCATAGAAAAATAAACTACATCAGCAAATTGTCAATTAATATCATAAGACACTTAAAAATGATATGGTTTAAACAGAAACCCTCAAGAGATTGGAAAGTTCAGAGATTCATAAATGCTAGGGTCAGAACGGACCTCAGCAGATCATCGAGTCTGACCCCCTGCCTAGGCAGGAAAGAGTGCTGGGGTCAGATGGCCCCAGCTAGATGCCTATCCAGCCTTCTCTTAAAGACCCCCAAGGTAGGGGAGAGCACCACCTCCCTTGGGAGCCCATTCCAAATTTTGGCCACCCTTACCGTGAAGAAGTTTTTCCTGATGTCTAGCCTCAATCTGCTCTCCTGTCAGTTTGTGACCATTGCTCCTTGTTACCCCAAGAGGCACCCTGGTGAACAGAGCATCTCCAACTTCTTGCTGCGTCTCCCTAATGAATTTGTAGGCGGTCACAAGCTCACCTCCCAGCCTTCTCTTGTGGAGGCAGAAGAGGTCCAGGTCCCTCAGACTCTCATCATAGGGCTTGTCCTGTAAGCCCCTAACCATACAAGTGGCCCTCCTCTGGTCTCTCTCGAGTCTATCAACATCCTTCTTGAAGTACAGCACCCAAAATTGGATGCAGTACTCCAACTGCGATCTGACCAATCCTGCATAGAGGGGAAGTATCACCTCCTTGGTTCTATTTGTCATGCATCTGCTGATTCACGATAAAGTGTGGTAAGCTTTGCTGATGAAGTTGACAATAGGCTAGGCTGAATTTTGTTCCCACTGATTTACTGAAAGTAGAGATAAGCAAAGTTTGCAAGGTTGCATTCTAATTCTTTTTTAGTTTTAAAACTTTCCTACTTTCCTTTAGCACTTCATTATTTGAAAAGAAAGCAGCATAATAAAGTGGTGACAACTCTTACCCTTCTTAATACACTCAAGGGAAATTTTATTTTTATTAACAATACTATCTCATTCACCATTACCCATCCCCAAAAATAGAAATTAAGCCATGATTCTACAAGGAGATCAACATGATGTATACCTGCAGGCTCCAACATCAAGTCGTGTTAATTTCAACAGGGCTCTTTCCAAGCACAGAGGTCGTCTCATATACGTGAAATTATAGGACTGTAGTCTAATACACCACAGATACTCTATGCAGCCACCAGTTTTCAAACTTCAGACCTGGCTTTTTAGTATCTTTAAAAAGTATGCTCAGTAGCCCCTTTGCTTATGCTGAGTTTGAAGAAAAGCAAGTGGCCACAATGCATCAATTATACTCTGTGTCACTGCTCAGAAAAAAAACAGCTGTTTACTAGTCTTCCATTTTCCCTCTGTTTAAATTAATGCTATTTTTCTCAACAATACTTGTCAAGTAAAATTTGAAGATCTTTGTGGATTTTAGGGTATACTTAAAAGCCACGTTTTTACTTTAAAAATATGGCTCTTGCCTCAAAACTACCTGAGGTAGCCTGACAGAGTGTAAGCAGAGATAAACTAATACATTCTTAGAGGCAGGACCCAAACTCACCCTACCTTCTTGTTGGTTGGGCCAAACAGTCACAGCGTGTTACCTCAAGCCACCCACTTACTCTAAAAACCAAGCTGCCTACAAACCGTCTGGTTTGCAGCAAAAACCAGTCCTACAGCTCATGTGCACACACACAGATGACTTTTCTGTCTCATCCACTCGTTCAAAACCAAAATTTTACCCTGAATAACTAAATATTTTCTGACAATTGCTGCCAGACATTAAGTGAGATCAACTATGACCCAGTGATATCTGTTTGGGGAGGATCCAAGCCATAGTTTTTGCACCAGCTGTGTGCAAACTGAAGTAAGAAGAATGGTAAAATATTGATGTAACCTGATCTTTTTAAAAGCGGGGGGAGGAGGGGGGAGGAGTAGTAAATGGGGAGGAGGGAAGGAGAAAGGATTGTATTTTTTATTTTCAGGAATGCCTTACTCAAATATAGCCAGGCTCAAATATGGGCCAACAGCCCCACCCCAGACCTTCATGAGGGACAGTAATTTGTAAGACAATCTCAGAAACTACATGGATTTTAGAACACAGAAAAATGAGACGTTAGACAGCAGATTAGTTTCAATCTTCGTTATCATGGTGCTACCACCCAATAGCACTATAATAATAATACCATCTGATTAAAATACAACTTTTTGCAGGCATTTTGAGAAGATATTTAAATTCAGAGGAAATGGCTGAAAACAAGCAAGATATCTATGAATTGTCTATGAACTACCTTACATTGCTCCACAGCTAATGACTGCACAAGACAGAAGCAATAAGGAAAGTGCAGAAATTTCTGGCGCACAGCCAGGCAATTCCCACTCTCTCTCGAATTCCTAGAGGCTATACTTTAACATTTAACTGAGTTTTGCTTTTATTAAACTCTTAAATTAATGAAGGAAAGTAGTCATATCCTGTCAAGCATAGGTGACTATGGCCCCCTCTACACATTACATGCATCATACAATTAACTGGTTAACTGCACAATTACATGCAAAGTAGCTATCACATGCAAAGACCAGCTACACATGCAAAGTAGCTACGACATCATTAAAAGATCTAACCAGCTATAAAGGTAGACCTCAGAAATGTGTATTAACTTTATATCAATCTTTAATTTGCACGTGTTGTGGGGTCTCCCCTACAGCTGGGAGTCCTGTCAGGTGATGGGTCTTCCAGCAGGGTGCTCTATGCCCAGCTTGAAACCCCAAGGGGCCTGAAGGTCACAGCTGCTGCAATCTTCCAGGCTCCGGGGTGCATGAGGCACCCCCATGGTCAAGAGCCCTTCAACTGAGGAGGCTCCCAGACATGAGAGGTTCCTTCTTGCTGGTAAAGAGGGAGCCTGGGATCAGGCTACCCCTGTACTGGCAGTAAGGCATGATAGTATCTAATGCACAATCCCATGATCACACCTCCCACCATGCACGTGTGGCATGGCAAGAGGCACAAATGTGTGGATCATACATTAGATCCCATCACACCTTTACCTGCAAGTATACAGGGGGCTCATGACTTCCATTTCAAGACTGATCACAGCTGATTTTACATGGCTTAAAATAGAGCAATTGAGAAAAAAACCAAATACAGTGAGAATCAACCTAACAGAAACTTACAGGAACTATAACCATATGGGAATAGCTTGAGAGGAAGAGAGAAAACAGCTTTTATTCCAAAGGGAGTCTCACTGACTTAACAGCAGATACAACATGTATAGCTTCTTCTGCTCTTATCACTACAAAAATCTGAGTGATTACCTAGTGGAAGGGAAATCTTACCTCAATGCCAATAGCTTGCCTCTGCCCTGGAGTTCTTACAGTCTGTAAAATCTGAGAGACAGAGACAGAGAGACAGAGAGAGAGAGAGAGAGAGAGAGAGAGAGAGAGAGAGAGAGAGAGAGAGAGAGAGAGAGAATGTATTGCACATAATTACAATGTAAGCTTTAGCCATTTCTGTCAATACAGGTTTCCCTCGATTTATGCAGGTTCTATGTATGCTAATTCACTACTATGCGCCAATCACCCTTTTTCTACCCAGAATTCCTTATATGCGAGTTAAATTCATTCTTATGCAATTGGGGCTCCAGTTATCCCCACTCACCCCAGACCCTGGGCTACACCATACCGTGGTGCAGGCAGGTGGTGTCAGCTGCTCCGGGGTCTGCTGCAGCAGGTGGGGTGAGTGGGGAGAAGTGGAGCCCCAGGAGGTTTGGGGCATGGTGCGGCCCAGCTGTTATAGCCAGCTGGTGTTGGCTGCTCCTGAGGCCGCTGCAGCAGGGGCTGGGGTGAGCAGGAAGAAGCGGAGGCCCTGGACTGCAATAGGCAGCAAGGCGGTGGGAACAGTGAGTGGGTGCGGGGCTCAGGGGAGGAAGGCACGGTTGTTGCTGCTACATACCCTCCCCCGGAAGGGCTGTGGGGGCTGCACCAGACTCTTCCCAGGGGGGCATGGGCCCCCAGTTCTGCGCACGGGATACAGCAGGCTGCTGCTGCAGGCTGGGACCAGCAATGTGCAGGTTGTGGGGGCTACAGCAAATTTTGGAGTGACAGCAGCCGCCTCCCACCTGCAGCACCAGAAAGAGCCTAGTGCCGCCACCGGCCCCAGCCTTGCCTGCAGGAATGAGGCAGTGGTGCTGGGAAGGGGGCTGCTGCCACCCCAAAATTCACCGTAGCCCCCACAATCTGCTTGGCGAGTGCTGGGAAGAGCCAGGTAGAGCTGCCAGGCCTAGCCCGCAGCAGCAGCCTGCTGTTGTCCCACGTGCAGATTTGGGAGCCTGCACCCAACTGGGAAGAGCCCAGCACAGTCCACCAGCCTGCAGCCCCCACAGGGGGTACACAGCAGCAAGAACCATGCCCTCCTGCCCTGAGCCCCGCACCCACTCTCAGTTCCCATCGCCTTGCTACCTACTGCAGTCCGGGGAGCTGCCAACAGACTGTGCTGCACCCCTCCCCTAGTCCCAGCCTTACTCTCTCCCTCCCTCACCACCATGGAAACATATCCCTATCTGTTCCATTGTAAACTGGGTTCACTTTATGCTAATTTGATTTATGCGCTGTTCTCCAGGAATGCATGTACTGCATAAATCAAGAGAAACCTGTACTAAAAATGCTCTGTATGAACATTTTTCCAAAGGGAACAGAGGTTTTGCGGGTTTTGCTTTTTATAGTCCTTCATCTGTTGAAACACTGATATTTTTCCATCCTGGAAGAATAGACTATATCTATATAGGCTATATATCTATCTATATCCATAGACTGTATCTAACAAACTTTAATTAAAGCACCCCTGCTGCCATTTTTCAGCATGGAGACACTGATGGATGTCATGCTCCACGCACTTTAATTAGAGCATCTCTTGGAACAACTCTAATTAAAGCACTGCCCACCCATGCCCTGCCAACTCCCAGAGCACATGTATAAACACCCATAATGATCAGCAGGGATCCTGGCTTTCTCTGTTAAAAAAAAAAAAAAAAAAATCACACATTCTTATTTAAAGAAAAGAAAGAAAGAAAGAAAAAAAGCACAAAATCTCTGATTAAAAAACCCTAAATTTGCATTTTTCTGTGATTAAAATGAAATGCCACGAGAGAGAGAGGTGTTTCATTTTAATCACAGAAAAATGCAGATTTGGGGGTACACACACACACACACACACACACACACACACACACACACACACAGAGCACCCCCTGCCTGATCATCCTCCTCCTGCTCCCCACCACCCCTCACAGGCTGAAACTTTGCCAGCCTGCAAGGGGAAACCCACCTTTTGCTGCATTTTTCTCCTTTACAGGAAACAATCCAGGCTTTTTGTCCTTAAAATGCACATCCAGGTTTTTCTCCATATTTTACCATGGATTTTACCTTGTTTTTCCATGGAGAATGGAAAACCTGGATCCCTGCTGATCACAATCTCCTGATTTCTAATGAGAATACTATTTAATGTGGTAGCTAACCTTTTTGGCAGGCAAACCACAAATTAAGCCCTGCACTCTCCCTAAGTCCCATTTTGTTCCCCTTCCCCACCTACCACTGTGCTCTCCTATTCACTGCCCTGCCAGATCTGTTGGTCTGCTTTCTACTCACTGCCCTATTTGCTGCTGTGCTGCCTGCCCTCTCTCTGATCTGCCATGTGTCACACACAGAGGCTGCCCATGCCATCTGTGGCATATGTTTTGTGGGTTGGGTACCCCTGATTTAAGGACTCACTGATCCTTGTGTCTCCCAAGCAAAGTCAAGAAAAGGGACTGGTTTCTGTCCATTTCCTCTCTCCAAGAAATGAAAACAAGCTACTGTCATAAAAAACTGTGTTAACATTAAGATGCTGGCTTGCTTTCTATTAATACTAAGTAACACAAGTAGTTGTATTTCTGATACTGCTCCTTTGCACTCCAAGAATGAGGGACATATTCAGTATTCCCAACCTGAAGTGTTCAAAAAGCATGATTTTTAAACCAATGATCATTTGGATTATTTTTATCTCCCTCGGTTTCTAAACCTTTAGAGTTCACTCTTACAATTTTTTCTCTGCATTCATGAACGATAGAAACTCAAAAAAAACCCTGAAGCTGAGAATATTACGTAGCTGTAAAAGACTCCTGGGTCTTTGAGAAAATACCTATTATCACAAGACTTGCAATAAAATCATATCAGCTGCATGTGCAGATATGAAAACCTTGAAAGTACCGTTCTACTCTGAAAAAATAAACAAACAGAAGTGGTTCTTTCTTATTCTGTCCTCCATATGTGTTAGTCATATCTCATGAATTGGATGAGTATAACATGGCAGAATGTGACTTGCAAGACTATTAGTACTAGTGACAACTGAGGAGGAAGAAAGATCCCAGCTTGTCTCTCAGACTCCCAGTTGAATTTACAGGACTGGCAGTTAGAAAATAAATTGAACTGGAAGCTAATTATAATTGATATGAGATTTCTGTGCTGTAAAAATATGGCATGCTGCATTTACACAAAATCAAGATAATGTTTCCCCTACCAAACAGTTCTTTCCCCCCAAACAAGGAGGAGGGGGAGGCTGATCTTAGATTCAAGTACCTGGGTGACGCAGGCAGTGGCTCTGCTACAACTGTGGCCACGAACTCAGGGTCGGAGCCACAGCTGAGCCACTGCCTGCCCAAGGCTGAGGTGGCTTGTGCAGTGGAGGAGGGAGTGTACAGCACAGGAAGTGTAGGGGAGGCTGCACCACCTGCCTCACACCCAGCTTGCCCTATACCTCCTAAACAGCCTGCCTTCCCCCACACCTGCCTTAGCTTGTGCTCCAGCTCCAGTCCCAGCCTGAGCTCTGGGAGCCTTGACCCAACCTGAAGCTGCTGCCCCTTCTTATCCCTGGCCAGGCAAGGTGAGTCTAAGCTGGAGCCACCACTGCTGTTGATTGTCCTGGAGCTGCAGCAAAGCAGAGCAGAGGAGAGCAGAAGAAGGCCAGTAACAAGGGGTGGGTGTACACAGTGGGGCGGCAGGCAACAGGCATTGGGGGGGGAAAGGTGGCAGGGGTCAGACACAGGCATAGGTGGCAAGTGGAGGGGAAGTAGAAGCTGGAGGGGCAGGCACAGGGATGGGTGGCAAGGGCAGCAGGTGGGAGCAGGGGGTGGAAAGGCATGGTTGTGGTACAAGCACATGGGGTGTGAGGGACAGGGGGGCATGAAGTGGCAGGGCAGCCACCGGGGGGGCAGAAGGAGGGGTGGTGGCAGGGGTCAGGCAAAGGTACAGGGGAAAAGGAACTGGAGCAGGCAGGAAGGGAAAGGGGTAGGTTTGGCCCCACACTCCCCACCATTGCTTTCCCTACCACAGCTGTCTGGGGACAAATCAAAACAGTCTTCACTAATCATATTATATCCATGGAAAAGTGTACATTTGTTATTTTATAATATATATATTTGTTATAAGAAATGGGGAATCTTCCATGGACAGAATGTAAATATGGCAGCAAGGGGGGGGGGATGTCTTAAATTCAGAGTCATCCTGGATTCAGGTAAATACAGTATTTTAGAATCATCTCAGAGTAGATGTGCACTAAGATTCCTACATCCATCTCTTTTTCATGGTTTTAAACAATCTTCAAAATAAAAGCAACACGAGTTTAATATCTTTTAAATCACTTATTGGATAACTTAGGAAAAATATATATTACAGCTACAAGGTAAGAACATAATTTAAGAATACATTAGAATTCAAGCAAGACTCATACGCTACAGTGCTAAGTAATTTAGAAAATCCTAAAATACCTGGGTGTATTCCAGCGATTGCCAGAGCGAAGCAGCAATCTCAGGAGATTTTCCAAAGGCAGTGAGAGTCTCTAATAACTCTGCTTTCAAAATGGGAGGGATGCTACATTGCAGAAGTCCCAAAATGACTACTATAGGGGTCCACTGGGGGTGCTCACAAAGGGCCAAACGAGCATTCTCACTCTGTACATCAAACAGAAAAAGAAAAGAAAAAATATATGCTGGTTATCACTGTTGCTTGGAAAAGCCTTACTATTTTGCATAATCTACTTTGTATGACTTAGCACTGACAACAGCTGCTTATTAGCTGAATGCACTGAAGAACTAGGGAAAATGGAGTATCACTCTAATGCAAGCACTATTTAAAAATAAAAGAGCCAGCTGAATTTGACCCATGAATCATCTGAGGCAAATGTCTCTGCTACTGAGTTATATACAAACAAAGGTCTATAAACCAATTCAAATAATTTTTGCAAGACGAGATACAGCAATGGATTAGCAGAACAGGAGAAATAAAAGTATTACTTACCCACTTTACTATAGTAGTTGTGAGCTGTAAAAATGCAATCAGTCCATCTTGCTCCTTCTGGGTGATGCCTCGCAGGGGAAGATGACGGTATTGAACACTGTCTGCACTTGGCAAGTCTTTCCTTAAGTGCTCATGATACAGCATCAAGGAGTGGAAAAAATGCTCCCAAGACACAGGGCTCCCACCTGCTCCTTGGATGTTTTCAGCTAGAAAAATATCAAATTGATTATTAAAAACTTTTGCCCTTTTGCATGTGGCAACAGAGGTAAACTTTAAAGGAAAAATCTAACTGCCACTCAGCCCAGCATTCTGGAAACTCAAGTATCAAGAAATCATCTTTCTGTAGATAGGGTGACCAAATGGCCCAGATTGGCCAGGACAGTCCCAAATTTTACAGGCTGCCTCAGCACCCCAGCCACTGGAGAACATGTAAGCAAAAGTCCTGGATTGGGCTGTCCTGCCTAGCCCCACTCCTAGGAGCTGTAGGGTGGAGTGTGTGAGTGTCTGCACGTGTGTGGCAGTGGACAGGGCTGGAGCAGCTATCAGGACTCATTGGGAAGCAGGGTGCCTTTGTCCCTGGAGCTGGTGGGGTACAGGCTGGAGCTGGGGGCAGTATGCCACCTGGGCTGGGGGCCTTGCATGAGCTCCATCTGCCCCATTCTGGCTCACAGTTCTGGCCCCATTGCATCACCAGCAGCCACATCCTGGCTGTGCACGTCAGGGCCAGGCCAAACTCATTACAGGCGCCATGCAAAGAGCCCAGCATGGCCCAGCAGTGCCCTGCCCTAACCAGGGAGGGGGGGTGTGAAGCCAGAGATGGCTGCACCTGCCCAGCCTGGAGGGGGCATAGCCAGAATGTGGCTGCAGGTGGCAGCACTGGGCCAGACCCATGAGTCAAACAGAGCCCATGCAGCACCCACAGCCCAGTCTGCGTCCTGTCCCTGATGAGAAAAGGCACCATGGTCTCCAGTGCATCCCAGCCCCAGCCTGCAGCCCCCGCTCCAGTGACAAAGGCACCACACTCCTGACATCTATTCCAGCCCTGCCCGCTGCCACACAGTGCCCCAGCACACGTGTGCACGTGCCTGTGTGTGCGCATTGGCACACATCCCAAACCCAGTTTTCCCTAAAATAATTATAGTCGTACTAACTATGGATAAAATGCTATTCATTCTTTTTGATAATGCCCACAATGTCCTAAGTGCTTTCAAACCATTCAAAAAGTGAAATCACTTGCTCTAAGAAAACAGAAAAAAAAGATAGGAGTATGCTACACCTAAAAAACTAGTCTTTCCCTCTTCCATTTATAAACTTACCACCCTATATTCTACAATGGAATGCCAGAATTGAGAAAGTGATTGCAGCTTTCAGTTCAAAATCAAAATAAAGCGGGAAGAAAATAAAGTTTGATAAGCTGGGTGCTCAGTTTTGCTCTTTTCTTTCATAGCTATGGCATTATTGATATGGTAAGCAAGTAAAAACTAAGTTTCTTGTGCTATGAATCAAAACTTATTTACATTTTAAGCATTACAATACTAACCAAGTAGTATTTTTGACCTGACAACATAGCATGAAAGCACAGCTGACACTAGTGTCATATACTGGGCTTCTATATCACTATGTCAAATAATCTACGTGGCCAGTATTTACTAACAAGAGAGCTTTGTCATGTTATACTCAGTATATCACAACACCTGTTTATCTTACAAGTATAGCTCGTTTAAACATGTTACAAGAGTGAATTAACTCAAACTTCAATTGACATAACTTAATTAGTATTTTAAGGCAGGATACATTTCAAAGTGAAGTCCTGAGTTTCATCCATGATCGCATGATTAACAGTAACTAACCAAGTATTAAACCACAATAAATCTCATGCAGAACTCTACTGGCTACCTTGTAGAGCAGGGGCAGGCAATTATTTCGGGTGGAGGGCCGCTTACCGAGTTTTGGCAAGCTGTCAAGGGCTGCATGGGTAGCCCTGCCCCTTGACAGATGCCTCGCCCCCAGGTCACCATCTTGGGACCAGAAGTCCCTCCTGCCACCCCCCAACCTTTGTCAGCAGATGCCCCTCCCTTTGCCCCCAGAAATACTCCTTTCAGCAAGGGGTTTTGCCATCTCAGAACCAGAAAAACACCAAATTATATTCTAAAAATCAAATATCTACAATATTCATTAATTTGATTTTAAAAAACACATGTAAATCAGGAAAAAGTGTTTGTGTAGTGTACATAGAGGTGATCGTACAATAGATTAAATTAAGTCTTACTCTTTTATACTGTGGGTGTGGATGTGTGTGTGGATGTGGCGGTCTGCATGTGTGGCAGTGCAAGGGGGGGTGCATGTATATGGTGGGGGGCACTTGTGGGACTCACCCTACAAACACACGCATGCTCTCCCTCCCTCATTGCACACACACTGTGCTTTCCTCACCACACAAACAAACACACACACACGCTCACTCTGCGTGCTTTGCTCACTACACAACAGGGGCGGGCAATTATTTCCGGAGAAGGGCCACTTATTGAGTTTTGGCAAGCCATTGAGGACCACATCACAGGCAGCCAGGGGCAGATAAATATTAATTTTCTAAATTTTTAGGGGTCCTGCAGGCTGGATAGAATGGCCTGGCGGGCCACATCCAGCCTGCGGGCCGCTTTTTGCCCAGCCTTGTTGTAGAGGAGGAGAGTTGGGAGGTGAGGCCTACTGTCAGACCCCTTTCTTACCGTGACTGCTGCCATTGACCTTCAGCAAACTGAAGCAGTAATGAGCACACTGGGGCCCACTGGCCAATCCCCAAAGCATTTTCAAATATGGGATATAAATTGTGGGGGGAAGTAGGTCTCCCATTTGTCTAACAAACTTTGATAAGACAACCTGGAACAAAAAAAGGTAATTGTTTATAAACAAACACCTATTTTGGGGTGATATCAACTAGCCACCATCAAAAGAAAACATCTGGTTTGGCCAAAAAAAATTACTCCAAAATAATATACTTGTGAACTCTCTTTTCAGTTTCATTGAATATAAATTTCACGTTTTGAACAGGAAAGAGATAAAACAAGATAGCTCAAGTTATTGCAAAGGAATAAATATTAAACAATACAGATACATGTAATAACTTTTCATTATATTACCTATCTGGATTCCATGAGAGGAAAACGTAATATGTCTTTAAAAATAAATCTAATCCAGGAACACAGGCTTTAAATAACTGCGTTGCTATTGCATGATGTGACTACAGCACAGAATTACAGTTGTTTCTATGTCTTAACCTTTCTTGCCTTAATATTTTTGAATTGCTATTAAGTCTAATATTGCACTCTGTCTTTCCTGGGTTCTTATTTTTTCAATAAGTATAGTATCCTTGTATTTTTTTTATATGTAGGATGCCAATACATACTCTCAACCATAAATGCATCCTAACATTTTTCTTCCCAGGGTATATCAATAGCACACTTCAAGATTATCAGATGCTATAACAGATGCTATTGCAGAAATGCAAATATCATTATTATTATTAGCATTTAACTGGGCAACTGTAGCTTCTTGTATCAAAATTTTAAATTAAGCGCTCAAGCATAACAAGAATTCTGAAACAGATTAGGTTCTTCCCTATTAATGCCAATGACAACTATGGGGACAATCCACAACTCAAGACAACTGGCGATGGCTCTCTTGGTATTAAGTCAATAGCAGCTATTTAATACAGATTGGGAGCAATGAGACAGTATCTCAGAAACAAATAACAGGTCCTTAAGACCACATAAGAGTAGCTCTGGTAATTCCATTAGAACACTTGAGTATTTCCTCCATCCCAAGAAAAACTGCTGCTGCTTTTAAAAGCATGAAAGGACAATGACACACAAATGAGACAACTAAAACAAGATTTTTCCCTCAAAACTTGAGAAAGGCAGTAGAATTTGGCTAACTTGACGCTGAGGAGGTCGCTGATGGGCTACTCCAAGATAAGACCCCATGATGGTGGAGCTCTGGAGAGGCTCCGAAGGACACCAGTATTCAAGGGCAAGCTCCAGATTAAATGGATCCTTCCGATACAGCTCAGCAATCTAAAGGGAAAGAAAAATGAGTTTCTAAAGAGAAAAATACCAATGCGAATAAAAGGCAAAGATAATAACTATCAGAGAGCATGTTCTACACAACCCTGAAAACCCAAAAAGAATAAGTTATCTCATAGTTAATACTTCATGATTTAAAACTCCATTCCTGAAAATGGCAGTTTCTTAACAACCCACGGCCACAGTATCACTAAAATTTAAATATACTAGTCTCTTAAATATTTAAGTTTTAATGATATTCCCCCTCTATCTATTATCTGTAAAATGTGCTACAAACAGACCCATGTTTCATCCTAAATTAGCATTTGGGTATCTGTGCAATGATCTTAGAATAAACAAGTTAGCATGTGGATTAGAAGCTTTTAATTGATCTCTAAATAAAGGAATTTTCAAAACAATTTTTACTACAAATTCTTCATGTTAAGGATTCATTACGGCTTTAGAGAGGATTTTCACATTTACTATAATTGTAGAATATATGTCATTGTAAAAGGTATCTAGGAACCTTAATTTAAGCATCATAGTTAAGTAAAGGTAACAAAATAGCACAATATTTACCTATTGAAAAGAATGAACTGATTTTGATTAGGGTGGGAAATGTCAGGTCAGCAAATTCATGCCACTACAAAGTAGTTAATGAAAATTTTTACATCTAATTAAACCAAAAAAATGAAGATTTCCACTTCTAATGGAAAACAGTTAAGGCATGATAAACATTGTACTACATTATTCAAAGAGTTTTTTCTATTAAAATGTCTTAAATGTTTTCAACAGAAAAAGCCCAAAATACTTCTTTTGTGCCAAAGTAATTAAAAAAGAGAGCTCACTAAAAGCATTAGATGTTCCAGATCCCGCCGGAGGGAAATAGGTGGTTCATTACCCATCTGCACACTCATATGGATCATACGAGCATCTTCATCTGCACGATTTCTTAGCTGTTTCACCTACACAATTTATGAGGTAAAGAAGAATGAGAATCTATTTTAGCCAACAATGAAAGAGCTATCCAAAAATCCTATTAGAAAATAAAAATAGCAATATAAAAATAAGGTTTATAAAACTTATTTAAAATATCCTTAATAAACTGCTATTGTTGTAATAAATGGTGAAATTCACTGCCAGGTTATGGAATTTCATTTTAATGTTGTATTTGTTTGTTCTCTTATTGTCCAATAGTGGGGAAAATGAAGTTTCGGCAGTGCAAGGTATAAATCAATGAGAAATAATTGAGGTGTTTGTCCATATGGATCCTTCCTTCCCTCCTACTGTGGATCCCTGTATTAGCAGAGGACTTGAGGAACAATTAGGTTTCCTCCACCTTTTATACCCTAAGGCAGTGGCTGGCAACCTAGAATCCTCAGACCAGACCCATCCCATCAAGTGACTGCATCCAGTTGTAAGCAGTGGGTGAGCAAACGGGCGCCCTCCACCTGTGTGCCCCCCTTTGCCACCCGGCTAGTTTTTCTGTAGTGCTGCTTGCCTCCTATCTCTCTCATGCGCAAGGCCCCTCGCTACCAACTACTTTCACCCCTCCGCCTACCAGGCACAATGATCAGCCACCCATGGGCAGGCAGAGCAGGTAGAAGGCAGCTGGGAGCAGAAGCCAGAGCCTCACACGCTGGGGTAGAAGCCGCCAACCCTCCCAGAGTGGTGTGGCAGGAGCAGGAGCCGCAGCTGGAAGTGAGGGGAGCAGAACACCCATGTGGGGACCCATGGTGGGTTGGGGCGGGGAGGGAGGAAGGGTGCTGACCCAAGCCCATGACAGCTCGTCAAAACCACCCATGTGGTCCTTGGGCCCAAATACTTGCCCACTCCTGAAGAGTGGACAGCGCAAGACCAAGCAGGACATAAAGGTGGTCCCAAAAGACAATGCTAGCCAGAAGAATCTAATCTTTCTTGTACACAATACATGAATCCCACTATTAGCACACATGTAGACAGATGGTCCAAGAATAATTTTACATAGCCAATATTCAAAGAAATATTTAATCACTTTCTTTCTCTCAAGACCCTCAAAATCAGCAACAAGAGCCTACTCCAACTCCATTTTCCAATTACGTCAGTATGCTTTGAAACAGACACAAAATTTACTTCATTATTTGTAATGCTACATATTTCTGTACCAAAATAAAAAAAAGATTTAATTAAACTGAGGATTGGCACCCTACTACTCATAGCCCAGATCCAACACAGAGATGCTACTAACCCCTGAATTAGACCATCATCCCCATGGATGTGCAGTGGAAACAGAGGAAGCAGTATGGAATGACCTCTTTTTTGTGTATGGAATTGAAAACTGCAATATTTCTCAAGGAACATCTATACTGAACAGCAACAAAAGTTGTCTTTGTCTTTTGGACCTGGTGATTATATATCAGTCTTGGTGCCAGAAAAAACTATTTGAATCAATTAAAAGTGCCTCGATGAATGCACTATGTCAGGGAGGGAGAGGGAAACACACCACAGCTACTATATGTAATGGAAAATTGTTTCTCACTAATCTCCTAGAATTGTCTGAGTATGTCAACAAATTATTGGATAAACGAAAAACAGCTTTAAGTATTTATTCTGAATTTCAACAAGCCTTTGTTGTTAACAGACTCCTTCACAAGAAACAAACAAATCACTGGATGAGAAAGTTTTAGCATGGATTAAGCAGAGGCCGAGGAAAAAAAAAACAAAGACCAGAAACAAGAATCAATCCCCAGGATGCTAAACAGTAAACAGATGTGCTGAAGAAGTTTGAAAGATTGCTGGTCTGTAATTTATTAATGACCTAGAAAAAAGGTTAAGAGCTGCAAAATATCAAAACTTGAAAATGAAATGAAGTCAAGACTAAAGGAGACCAAAGACACTAACGAACCTAATCAAAGCTAGATGACATTTCAGTCCAGGAATGATGTAATTCAGTGTTGACAAGTGAATGTAACCCACACAGGGGTGGCCAACCCATGGCACGAGTGCCACAAGTGGCAAGGACAGCCTTTACGTGTGGCACACAATAGATAAGGGAGGAAGCAGGAAACACAGCGATAGATAGTGCAGATAGCACAGCAGCAGACTGGACAGGGGAAAAAGATTAGTGGTACTTGGGGGGGTGCAGTGCTTACCTTGGGGCATGTCTGCCAAAAAAGGCTGGCCCCCGCTGCTGTACAATATCTGAATTATGAAAATATATTTTGAGGTTCTAAATTAACTGCATCTACGCAAAAAAAACCATTTAATCACGGACAGCTCAATGAAGACTACCCTTCATGCATCAGCAATCAAAGTACACCAATGTCAGGATATTCACTAATAAGGCAGTAGAAAAAGTAATGCCAAAATTATTATTTTTATAGATTGATCAACAGACATAACCTTGAATAAACACCTTATTCACTTCTAGTCACACTAATTAAAGAAAGGATACAGTGGAACTAACAGTACAAAGGTAAGTGGAAAAAAATGACAGACATAAAGACATTTTTCTTGTGAAAAGAGATCACAAAGTCTGTCACTATTTATTGTAAAGAGAAGACAGTAAAATGAAGTGCACAAAACAGAAGTCAGAAGTGCCCATAACAATGAATAGGCATGCATGGGGGAAAACTGGGCATTTTTATTTACCTATCCAAAATGCAAAGAACAGCCAATGACATTTAAAAGGCAACAAATTTACAATTTAAAGCTTGTTTTATGCATAATTATCCCATGGACCTCACTACCACAATATTTTGAAAGAGAGCATCAAAAGTTACGCAGTGTAATTACGGGTAGTCTCTTATGCTTCAGGGCCTAAGCCAACCACAAACTAACAGAATTTGGAAAGAAAATATATTTTACAGGCAACTATTTCACCACTAACAGAAAAAGAAATAGCATAATTGATGGGCAGACCTGCTTTCTAGTCCTGGATAGCAAATTCTGTTCCTAAAGAATTCCAGTCAAAACCAAAATATTCCAGGGAAAAGCTTTAATTTTGACAAATCAGCAACTAATTAAGAAAAAGTCCTGCCCACTTCTAAATAAAAGTCATTACTACAATGCAAGCATTCAAAGACCTACCTGAAATAAGTCCAGCTCCTAATGAACATATTATCTACATTATAGAAACAGCCTTTGCTGGCAGCCTTGGTAGAAAGGCCACAGCCTGTTACAGTACGTTATTTTCCTAGAGGGATGTTAAACTCATCCAACCACATGGGCCAGATAAGGGACACTGAGCTGGTCTGCGAGCCAGAATGAGATTGAACCCCTGTGCAATGCCCAAGGCACCCAGTCTAGCCCACGTGCTACACACAACATGTGCTGGCCTCACATATGGCCAGCATGGGACATGCGCTGCCCACAGCACACAGGCTGGACCCAGTGCTTCAGGTGACAAAGGGAGTTGGGTCCAGGGTGCAGGAGGCATATAGCACCCTGCTGGACAGGCCCTATGCACTGTGTCCAGGGAGTCTGAACCTGCTGTGCCGTGTGCAACACCAGGTCTCCAGAGTGCCTATGCACAGTTAGCTTTGGGGCTAACAGGAGCATACATGGTAAATTGGACTGGCTGCTTGTGCTGCACACAGCACAGGGGGCCACCACAGGACATGCACTGCATACGATGCCCCGCTGGACTGGTTCTGTGGGCTGGCTCTGACACAGCTCAATCCAGACCAGTCCCAGAGCCAGAATACAGGTCCAATCCAGAGGGTCACTGCATGCAGCCCTCATTCCAGACCAACCCGTGCTGTGTGCAGGGTCCAGTCCATACACTGCACACAGGGACAGAGACAGGGTCAGCATGTGCGGTCAGTCCAGAGACCCACAGGCCAGATCACACAGCTCCATGGGTCATATGACACCCCTGCCTTACTATAACTCCATGTAGTTGCTACAGAACAAGACTGAAGCATGCTGATGAGGCTATGGAAACAAAAGATGCTTGCTGATATGATTAGAGCCAAGCCTGGTCTATGGGTTAGGAAAAGGATTTAAATGCTAAGCTATTTAACACAAAAATATTTTAAAGCAGAGTAGCACTTAGTTAAACAGTCTACATTATGCTTATGTGCCCTCAAAAATATCCTTAAGGCTTTAGGGAGGGTTTTCTTTCCAGACATTATTTTCATTCTGCCAACCTAAGATGAAGAAAAAGATAGAGCCAAACCACACACAGGAAGACTTCAATCATCATTTGGCAACTCAAACCAAAATGCACAGCTTGATGCAGTGAAAGTCACAAAATAATGCCTTCACCAATTAAATGAAAATCCTGCACTTTTCCCAGAGCTCCGCCTTGCAATGCATAGCTACAAGGTCTTATACAAATGAAACAGCTCAGACTGTTTCGTGCACGTCACTTTTCACTTGTGCAACAGCAGCGTTCCTGTTTCTGGTCATTCAAAATATTGTCACAGGGACAATATTCTACTACAGGAAAGGATAGCACCCCAGAAGTCTGTAATTAGGAAAAAATGTAAAAACCTACAGAGACAGCACGGTTGTAGCACTGATCCTTTCTCAGTCACAAGTCTCCTACTGTGCTATTATACCTTAAAAAGCAGTAATATTCAGTAAAATCATAAATATTCACAAACATAGTTTGTTTTTTTTAAATGTCACTATACTTTCCAAGTTGGATTTTTAACCAATGTATATTGGAAAACTAAGCTCTAAACTGTGTTCATTTCAAACAGTTGCAAGTTTTCTGAGTCCTAGCATTTCAAGAGTATGGTGTTAGATGCCTTAGAACACACTCTAAATTTTATAAAATTGTTATATGGTTCTGAACATGAAATCTGGATTGCATGACAAAATTCTCATCAACTGTCCATCCAAACACACACGCAACTTACTTTCATTGGCATGAGGGCAAGGAAGTCTGTGACAAGGTTATGAATTTTGCGAATGTAAAATTCTTCCTGATAGAAATTGTCAGATCCCACAACTGATTCAGTAAGGAAGAGGAAGACATTATCAGCAATAGCTAGCTCTGCCATTGCCTCGTCTGCCTCAGTAAATTCTGCAAGAGCTATAGAGAGAATTAAGGAGAGAGATTATAATTATCTGTTACCAAAAAACCCAAAAAACATATGGTTAAAGTTTCTGGCTCACCTGCAGATCAACCAACTTAAACCACTTAAGTCTTTCTGATGTACAAAAGAGTCGACACCAACAGTGATGCAAATATTGAGGCACATTCCAAAATATAACCCACTTAACAATTCACTGCACAACACTGGTGTGACCAAATCTCATTATACAAGACTGTTGGGTCCCATTAATTAGTAATTAAAATGATCTTTTAATAAAAACTTCACAATATCAAGATCCTTTGTTTTAACATCAAAGGAAATCTATTCTAGAACAGATTCAGTTCTGCCCCACTGCAGAATTTGGAAACTTCAAACTATGAAATACATTGAGTTAAATATTTCTCATGATACGCTCTGTATTCCAATAACTAGCTATAGTGGAACAGATGCTTAAACTCACTACAGGTTTCCCTCGATTTATGCGGGTTCCATATATGCAAATACGCTCTTATGCGATCACCCTTTTTCTACCCAAAATTCCTTATATGCAAAATAAATTCACTCGTGCAATCGAGGCTCCGCTTGTCCCCACTCGCCCCAGACCATAGGCTGCACTGTTCCGTGGTGCAGGCAGGTGGTGTCGGCTGTTCTCAGGTCTGCTGCAGCAGGTACTGGGATGAGCAGGAGAAGCGGAGGCCTCAGACTGCAACAGGCAGCAAGACAGCAGGAACTGTGAGTGGGTGTGGGACACAGGATGGGGGGGCCCAGCTCCTGCTTCTACGCGTCCCCCCAGGGAGGGCTGCCAGCTGGGGGGTTGTGCCAGACTCTTCCCAGCGGGGTGTGGGCCCCCAAATCTTCGTGCAGAACAAGAGCAGGCTGCCACTGCAGGCTAGGGCTGGCGGTGCCTCCAGGCTCTCTCCGGCACTCAGCGGGCATGTTGAGGGGGCTACGCTGATTTCTGGGGTGGCAGCAGCCCCCTCCCAGGGCCACCACTGCAACCCCCAGCCTTGTTTGCAGGAATGAGGTGGCAGCACTGGGAAGGGGCTGCTGACACCCCAAAATTTGCCACAGCACCCCCAACCTGCCTGCTGACTTCCAGGGAGAGCCTGGTGGTATCACCTGCCCCAGCCTGCAGCGGCAGCCTGCTGTTGTCCCACATGAACATCCAGGGACCCACGTCCCACCAGCAAGAGCCCGGCAGAGCTCCCAAGCCCACAGCCCTCCCGGGGGGTATGTAGAAGCAAGAGCCACGCCCCCCTGTCCTGGGCTCCTCACCCACTCACAGTTCCTGCCACTATGTTGCCTGCTGCAGCCCCCGGAGCTGCCAACAGGCTACACTGCACCCCTTCCCTAGTACCAGCCTCACTCCTCCCTCCCTTACTGACACAGGAATGTATCCCTATTTGTTCCGTTATAAAGTGGGTTTGCTTTATGCAAATTCAATTTATATGCTGCTCTCTGGGAACGCATGTACCGCATAAAACGAGGGAAACCTGTGGCGCAAAAGATTAAGGGTGCACCAATAAAGGTTTTTTGGGCCCATACCACTGGCCAATTATTAACGAGCCATATCAGCTGATAAAGATCTGATAGCCAATACGCAAGCCTGGAAGCTTGGACAGCAGCATCCAGCTGGTAAATCTGTTGGAAAGAAGAGATGGGGAGCAGGGAAGGGGAATGGAAGAGGGGCACAGATCGAGGTCCCCGTGATGGAGGGAGAGAGTGGGGCTGGGGCAGGTGATGCACAGTTGGGGTGGGGTGGGATAGAGCCACAAGCGGTTTGTCCAAGGGGCATGGGGAGTGGTTCCCGCTGCTGCGTGCACCCGCTGGGAAGGTATGGGCAAGGGGTGTACCCCCTGGATCTATGCATGGGGTGAGGGTGGGCTGCTGCTGCAGGCTGGGGCTGGTGCCAGGCTCTTGCCGACAGAGGGGGCTAAGCTGGGGCAGGCAATGGTAGTGTTGGGAGGAAGGGACTTCGGGGGGCTACAGCAAATTTTGGTGTGGCTATAGCCCACTCTGTAGCCCTCCCCTGCCCCAAGAGCCACTGCCACCCACCCTGAGCACAGCCCTGGCCCAACCCCCCTGCCGTAAAGAGCCTGACACTGCCCCTGGCCTGCAGTGGCAACTCGCCCTCGTTCCACACACAGATCTGGGGGGCAAATACTTTTCATGCCTCCTTTGGGGGTGCACACAGTGGCAAGAGCCACCTCCCATGGACAAGCTGCTTGAGGCTCTGTTCCACACCCTGCCCTGCCTGGGCAGTGCCTGCCCTTGCTCCACTCCCTCCTTTGCTGTGGGGACCTCAATCTGCGCCTCATGCCCCTTCCCCCCAACAGACTTACCAGCTGGATACTGCTCTCCACATTGCCAGACTGCACTCCTGGCCCCATCCATGCTGCTGCGCCCCTGCACACAGCATTTATTGGTGACAAAATCAGCCACATAAGCCAAAAAAAGCCGATTGCCAACAACGTCAATTTTCCTTTTACCAGAGCCGATTCAATATGGACCAATGTATCAGTGCACCTCTACAAAAGATTATGATACAAATCTATTTTTGTTTCTTAAATGAGAGATTTAGGCAATGAAGTAACATTAATGCTCTTAAGATGCAATCTCTCATATTTTTTTAGTATCACATTAACTTCCAAGTGAAAGGGAGTTTGCATATTACATATGAAACTGCAAATATTTTTAAACTTGTGCACATTTCAAATGATGCGATTCCCAACAGCCAAATTTCAAGTACTGCAGACCAACAGTAACACAACTTTATCATGCACAAAATAAGTTATTGTAGCATTTACAAATCCTGAAGACGTGGCTGTAACAAGTCTGCTCCTTTGGATCAATTTACCTGTTACATCAGATAACTGAGATATTCCTCGTAAAGCTAATGCCCATGCTAATCTAACAGTAGCTTGCAGTCCTGGTAGTTTCCACGGCTGAGATTCCTGAAGACGAGTGTGGATTGTTGCTATATACTGTCTTTCCGTTAGCAGAGGCAGCTGGTGCATCAAATCTAGAAAACAAATGACTCATCATTTTATTTCCATTAAAATAAATATCTAGTATTCTTAGCCTAGATACACTTTTATCACAAATAAATCTTTCTTCATCTATTAAAAGTTAAAATTAACTTTTTGTACCTTTTTTAACTGATCAGTTGATTCTCTCAAATGGTCTGAAGGCTAAATAATCTATTGTATGCATCTATTTAAACAGGCTTTATTCAAATCAAAATATTCCTTCATATAAAAGCATCCGGTACAGGCTCTGAATGCATGTACGAAGCCGTGTATCAAAGTAACAAAATCAACCTAAAAACTTCCAAAAACTTCCCCTTCCAAAACCAAGAGCTTCACCCTCTTAAACACTAACTTTTGTTAGTGACCTTACAACAAGCTCTTAAAATTATCAAATTCAGATTCAATCAGCCTAAAAGGGAAGAAAATTCCATAGCAAGGGAACTAACCAATTCCTATGAATCATATTCAGCTGAGAAACAAACACTGTTCTCAGTTTCCTCAGTTTAAAAGAAAAAAGAGTATCTCATTACACACTGAAATAACAGCATGAATGTGCAATTACTCACTCCCTTGCATTTCCTTTATTAAAAAAGGAAATTCTATGCAGTTGCTGTATGTACTGAACTGAAATTAATAACTGAAATGAGCAAGTCAATATAACTGTTCATCAACTGGGCAATTTCCTCTATAAATATAAGAATACATACATGCAAAAAGACTAAAGTATACATAGCTCTTTGTTGCCAAAAGCATTACAAACAAACATTTTAAGCCTCATCACCCTGTCAGAATTCTCTCAGCCCCATTTTACACGAGGAAATGAAGTCACAAATAATTTAAGTGAATTAGGGAGAAGAACTACTGTAAAAGAGCAAGAATTAAAACTGAAGAGATCTTGGCTATGAGTACTCTATTCACTTTCATTTGAACTTACATAACAAACCAGAGTTTTATCTCTACTACTAAACACTGTACCTCAAGTAGTCTTAAGGCTAACATTCATCCCACTGAAGTACTTTCATTATTCTAAGAAATATCCTGCTTGCTATGTATACTCCAGAAATGTATATGCCTTACTGTAGTAAATTATGATAAGTACTCACTTTAAGTATCACCAGCAGTAAATTTGGTTAAATAGTAAAGTACCATTATCCATACTTTAAAATCCTCAGAAAAGCACCACCCTTACCTTCTTGATCCTCTGTGCCTTGTTCTAGAAAACTGACATCAAAGCAGTAAAGGACAGCCATGAGGAGAGATAAGTTAACACTGTCCAGTGAGCCATCAGCTTCAACCGTCACTTTCTCCAGGTAACTAATAAGTATGAGAGTATCATCCTTGCTGAGGGGTGACTGGCAGGTCCAGACAAACAGGCTTTCAGCTAATGATAGTCGGCATTCTTTAATGAGGTCAGAAACCTTAAAAAAAAAAAATCAAATTTAAATTTTGCACACAATAAAATCAACAATTTTGGCCTGTGTTGTTCATTTGGTCAATACAACCAGGACCAACTATACATTGTCATTTTGTATCCAAAATAAATGTATGAAATTGCAGTTTTTTAAAAAAATGTAACCGGCTCAGGCAGGAGCCGCATTACTAGGGGAGCCACAGGGGCAAGTAGCCATACAGAACATCTTACACAGGTGAAGGGAGTTGTTCACCAGGGGAAGATTAGGGTAATTATCCCACCACAGCTGGTATAAACCCGGCAGCGAGAGAGAGAGATAGACCGCAATCAACAGCCAAGAGAACCTGGGACTGCAGACCTTGAGATGCTGCAGCTGGCAAGTAAGAAGGCGGAGTACTCACCTGAGGCCCACAGCCGAGACAGGAAACCCAGGGGAGAGCCGGGACACCAAGGGATCAACACGCCAAGAAGAACCCCAAAGTAAAGGGCTCTGGGGCAGCACACAGGCAGTGAGAGTGGCATGGGGCCATCTGTGCCAGCGGGCAGCCAAGGGTAGAGCCAGGTTCCTGATCAGACACAGGGAGATGGCAACAGAGGCACCTGCCTACTCAACACCAGTAGAGACACTGGCATCGCACCCCACTAATGAGTTAATTAGTGGGGAATACACAGCCTGGACAGAAATAGCTTGAAGCATCCAGGACGCTCCCTGGTTTAAAGAGTTATCTTATCACCTGGGGGGTTCCGTTTGCTACTAAGTTAATTAGCAAGGCAAAGGCGACTATGTAACTCCTTGTTAAAAATAAAGTCAGCACTGTGCAAGTTTACCATCTGGGTGGTCTGTAGTGTTCTCTCGCCCCAAAAATTAACGCTGAACATTTCTTTCTTCCCATCAAAGTCATGGAAAGAGAGTTCAGAGGGACAGAGACAGACCCCGCCACCTGCCTCACAAAAACACGACTTATTTAATTAGATCAATTTTTCACTTCAATCCCCATTAATGTGAATTACATTTACACATGCATACTAACAAAATAATTATCAAATTCTAAATGTGCATATTTATATGCTCTCCAAAATGTATAGAGCAAGGTATATGACTCTTACTGCACAGACCACATTTCCAACACATATTCTACATCTATACTAGTATTCAAAGCCTTGGTAGGATCTCCTCTAAAACTGCTCACAAATTGTACCCCTTCAATTTACTCTAGGAACAAACAAACAAACAAAATTGTTTGCTGACTTAAGAAATATCAAATGACTGCTACTTGCCATAAAACAAATCTGTAATACATTATGAATCAAGCAGTATGAAAACCTACATAAAGACTGTCCAAGCATCTCCATACTAAGGGTATGACTGCAAGCGTCTAATTATTTTCCAAAATGTTATGTTAGGGTTAAATTCAGTACACCTGCTCTCAAACAGGGTTCTGTTTTGCCTTTTTCCCCAACAGTTACACCAAAATGACTCACTTGTTTTTAAACACTTAAAAAGTAAAAACATACATTTTATCTGCTAACAGTTTTTGCAACACATATTGGAAAATCTTTTACATAAAATGAAGAGGATAAATAAAAACTTTAAATTTGAAAAATACTTCTGACATCAATGATACAGGATCTCTGAAAGATCCAGTGAAAATTAAATTTAATTCGACTCAATTCTGAGAGATCTTTAAAAACATACTTGAGCATACCCACTATTTTTGTTTAAATAACAAAACTAGCAATCAACCAGTACCCAACTTTCATTGTCCTTATGCTTTTACTAATCAAATAAAAAATATTTCAGTGGATTTGTGCACATATGCATAGAGTTTTATGTAATCTGTAGAGGATTTTGGAGTATGGTCAAAAAAGGAACGTGTGGAAGCAAGCAGAGCTCTGAAATCAATATTCTCATCTGCTTTAATACAGGTTTATCATTCACATACATAATTTTAACAGATCATTATCCTTTATACGATTCCTATAGTGGCATGGCATAGGGCGCCCTATAGCAATGCACTACGTTGTCATATGATGTGCTATGGCAATGTAGCGATCATGTGAATCTACAAATGATCACCGGCTACGTCACTGCAGTGGTGCACTCCACAGGTATAGCACACCACTATGGTTAAATTTCACCACTGTCACCGTGCGCCATGCTTTAGTACTTCCAATAGGTAGTACTAAAGCACGGCGCCATAGCAATGTCGCTGTACGGCGACATGTAGACTCACCCATAATGTACAAACTTTTTCCTTCTTTTGGGGGTGCACAATGTCATGGTTGTATATATTATACTTTTCAGAAAAAATGCTTACCATCAATAGGCTCAGAAATAAAAGCTGCAATATTAATGTTTAGGTCTGATGTAGTTCCTGCTGCAGACAAGGACTCCCATCCCCATTTAACTTTAAAAAATGAAAGAAGAAACTCTGTATTTTCAAGCACTTTTCAGTTTTTACTATCAGAGGTGCTTCTTGCCATGTTGAAGAATTATACAAAAGCCACATAATTTCCCCAAGCAACTGGGCCCTCTTTTGCCCAGTCTGTATCATACTGGAAGCTTGGTTATCCATTTTTTCAATTCTAATTTGCTGTTTAAATTTGTGGCAATTAAAGTAAAAACAATTTTCATTTTAAATGATACACAATATGTTTCCTATTACATTTGTTCTATTCTTCTCTTTGGCGTTCCTTTACTGAAGGCAGAGAGAAGTTGCTCTGATAGCAAGTAGGGGCAAAAAAGCAGAACAGGTAGGCAGGTAGTAAGCCACCTACACTGGGCACTGCACGAAGTATAAGAGTTATCCACAATATTTCATCCATCAACATACAGCTTGCAGAGGGGGGAGAAAGGTCAGGAGGAGACAGAGAGAAGGAAATAAAATGCATCCCAGGGGTAATTTTTGAGAGGGGAGAAAGATGTTCACTTCAACCCACCAGAAGACATAAAGGAAAAAAAGACACCAGAATCATTAGAAAGAGGAGAAAACAAGAGTACTGAAAGACATGGTAGTTAGCCACTGCTACCAGAAGAAAAATAAAAGGAACCTAACAACTGTCCTAGTCCAGAACCATTCATGAAAACATGAAGTTCCATTTTGTGTTCACTGGCTGTGAAATAACCAACTGACCAGCCTGTGACTGTCCTCCACTGTCTTCCACCTATCTTTCTACCCAACACAGACCAGCCAGCTACTGAATTTCTTCCCCATGAGAACTTTCTTTTTCTTCAGTACAATGTCCAACATGACTATCAAGAGCACAGTCTGGCTGAGTCATTCCTATTCTCCACCGCTTCCCTGGTGTTCCCATTCCAATCTGCTCCCAAGTGGCAGCAGGAACAGGTGGGGGAAAAAAGGTGTACATTTTAACTAAGTGAATAAACTACCATTGGAATTTTACTTAAAAAAAATACCCACCTAAATTTAAGTACATACATACTTATAACTGCTTACAGAATCTCTTCAGTAATTAGGTAGAACAACACTCATTTACCTCTTTCCGATGTTTCTCACTGCCCAGGCCACGCTCCCTCTGTAGTTTTTCAAACTCGTTGTTCAAATCAATATGAGACACCAGAGTGAGGATCTTCTGAGTCAAACCCTGTTCCATCAGCTCATCTGTAAAACGTGTTGTCATGGACACCAACTCTGGACTTTAATGAAAACAGACAATATGTGTAGAACTATAATGGCAAATAATGCTATTCCTGATCACCGCAGAAGAAATCTGCAATGTATAAAATGAACAAAACCTACCAAAGTTATTTGAAAATGTAATTGTCTGTTTTTGCAGTTAAGTACAGAGAGAAATTAAAAGAGTATTTTATTTTTTATATATACGTATATGTATCTATATCTATATATAGATATAGCTATAGATATACATACATACATATACAGCTATACTATATAGATATACATATACAGCTATACATATATACATACAAAGATATACATATATAGATATATATACACATATATCTCAGTAAGTAGCATTCCCTTAAAGTGTTTCGACGAATGGCTACAAACTCCTGAAATGGCAAAGTTTCCAGAATTTGGGATTGAGTTGACCCTAACAAAGCAGCTACTTAATTTTTTTGTTGAATGACACTACTCACCACACAAGGCAAATGTACCTTAAGGCTATAAAAGCCATGCTAATCAAGTAATCTTTTTACTCCTATATATTTAACATCCTAGATATAAGGGTCTTGTACATAAATATTTCAATTTATGAAGTTTCAAAATGCATATCTTTGTAATGAAAAAACAAAATTCTATTGAGCATTATTGATTTTGGTGAGTAACAAGTTTATGTATCAGTTATCTTCCTCGACAGAAGTGGAGAACTGCCCACTTAAAAGTAGCAAAGAAACTGGTTCCTTGCCTTCCAGAATCTATATCAATGAGAAGTACAGACAGCGAGTGGTAGAGTTATTATTCATATTGTACCAATGTCAAATAAGGCATTTCACAAAAGAGCTATATTCCTTCTTCAAAGGACTTTCAACCTAAGTTAAAAACAAAACAAAGGGATATGAGTATAATATGTGGGACCAGGAAGGAAGAGGGGGGAAAAAAGATATTAAGATTTTACAGGCAACTGGAAGACTATGGACAACTATCTTTTTTTCCTGTTAATACCAGTTCTAGCATATTATAACTATCTCAGAAAAATACACACTGTAGAAGCAGATTTTGCACTGGAAGTCAGAGAAGAGGGGTAAGGGGGAACTATCAAAGTCCATCTCTCACAGATTACAGGAAGCTTCCTGTTCATCATAAGCCTGAAAAGATGAAATTCAGCCCTCCCACACTTGAGAAAGTTTTTATTCAACATCTCTTAATCAAGATGCGACTCATTAGATGTCAGCTATATATACTGGTTTGGCAAAACATTACTCTGTCTTCATATGAAAATTAAGGTGCAATCCAAAAGGTATTTGTTTGCTGTCCCTTGAGACACTCAAAAAGCTTCCAGAAATAAGGAAACTGTTTCCAATCAGATGCTATATTCTCTAGGGAAGTAACAACATAAATCACTGTCAAAATATACATCTGATGTACTGTAATCTTCCCAGACAACAGATTCCTTAAAAAAATAATCTGTCCTTGTCAAATTAGGTATGAAGAGCCAGGGTTCCAGAAAAGAACACTTTTACAAGGGGTTCCTAACTCTACTTGAAAAAAACCCAGCTATTAGTGTCAGAAGTAGTTATGAAAATGTTTCTCTTTGGCCAAATAGAATTCCATAAAGCCAAAGGCATTTAAAAAGGATTTAGTAAATACAGTATTAACTCCAATATAAGATGAGGCTTCCCCCCCAAAAAATATGGCGGGGAGGGGAAAGGCTGGTCTTGTACTCACATACAACATGGCCTGTATTGGGCAAACATCCTGATGGGAACCACCTACCACGTTTTTTCTTTTAATTTTGTGTCTCAGGAAAAAGTAGCCAGTTCCAAATTCTATTGAGTGAGCAGAACTCAATCATTCAAGTATGTGTACCACTACCACCAGCCTGTGTCCTACCACCCAGAGACATCAGCCTGGGATTTCCAATACTTCCAAATCCATGGCAGACATTCTAATATTATAAAAGCCTTAGTCTGTCTGTCCGTAACACTTTATTTGCACACCAACTGCTTGCCGAGGCAGCCAAACAGAGTGCTCTAGACAGACAGAGACACATGGCGGAGCGCCAGTGGGGACTGAGGGACCCCCTCCCCCCCTGCTCCTTGGAGGCAGAAGGAGACAACAGGAACCAGAGAACCACCAGGATGGAGGGGATGGAGCAGGGGGCCAAGGCCAACACCACTGGCCTGGCCCCCCTCCCTGCCCCTACAGCCAGGGGCCAGAGCGCCTCACCCACCTCCCCCCCCCCCC